GTCTCCCAGGGATTCAATATCCGTCAGGGAATGATTTATTTTGCTCGCTACATCATGTAGAAAGGCTTTTGAAGCACTGTCTCATTTTTTCCTTCATGTTAAACCAGTTAAGATCCCTTGAGATCACACTTTGTCACTCCCTCTCATACATGTGACAGGTTGTACTCCCATTCTTCCCCTTGGGGTGGCTGTGGCTGAGTGGTTAGAGCAGTCGTCCTCCAATGCGAGAGTTGGGGTTCGAATCCACCAGCAGTCACATGCTGAAGTGTCCCTGGGCAAGACACTGAACCCCTCATAGCCTCTGATGTTTGTCCCATCAGTGTGTGAGTGTGATAAAGCACTGATTAGTCTCATTAGAATGATTTGTTCAATTAGCTTTGTAGAGGTCTAGTAGAGTGCTGTATGGATGGGTAAATGAGGACACAGATTGTAGAGTAAAGCGCTTTGAGTATCTTGAAATAAGATAGAAAGGTGCTATATAAGTACAGTCCATTTACCATTTACCCTTCTGCGAAGGAGGAGTCTAGGCCCTATAAATCTGTAATGCCACCGGACATCTGCCCCTTCCGGTCTCTGATCTCGTGTCGTGTACTGGACCAGCCAGTGCTGTAAACTGTAATCTTTTCCTTCCTTGATTTTAATACAATTGGTAAAACTGAATTCACGTTTGCTTGATTTATTGATTGTCACTTCTGAGTGAGGTCCGAGCCGGAGGGAGCAGTGTGGGCTGGGGGCAGATCTGGGGTCCGAGAGGAGGCCTGAGGCCCACGGCTAGCAAGAGCTAGCTGCAGTGACCTAGGACCCGCATCCAGCTCCCAATGTAACAGCTGTATGCACGTGAAAGAAGAGGAATGAAAGTCAGCCATAGTAAGTACATGTGTGTGAATGAGAGGGAGGCTGGTGGAACAGTGAGGCTACAAGGAGCAGAGGTCACAAAGGTGCAGGACTTCAAGTACTTGGGGTCCACTGTCCAAGAAAATGGGGAATGTGGTAAAGAGGTGAAAAGGGGAGTCCAGGCAGGATAGAGTGGAAGGAGAAATATTTCAGGAGTGATTTACAACAAAGTGTGGCAGCAAAAGTCAATGGAATAGTTTACAAGACAGTGGTGAGACCAGCTATGTTGTATGGTCTGGAGACAGGGACATGGACAAAAAGACAGGAGACAGAACTGGAAGTAGCAGAAATTAAGATGTTGAGGTTCTCCTTAGGAGTGACTGGAATGGACAGGATTAGGAATGAGATCATCAGAGGTACAGCACAAGTTGAACAACTGGGAGATAACATCCTAATGAATGCTCAATAATCCAGGTAGAAAAATCCAAAAAAGTTCAATCTGGTCCTCTGGACATTCAAAAATCATCATTCATCATCATTCTCCCAGCAGACAAAGGAAGGTGCATAGTGATTTTGAACCAGAAAGACTATCATGAGAAAGTTATGACACTCCTTAGTGACTTAACCACTTATGAACCTCTGAAAAGAGATCCAGGAAGTGGTTACAAGAAGAAGTTAATAGATTGCCTGAAAAATTTGGAGCAGGACAAGGCTATTGACGTGCATTCCTATTGATGATGCAGTAGAGGTGGTCAATTTAAGATTAAAATCAGACACCACTCTGAGCAGCAGGACCACGCTTTCCACAGAACAACTGTGTCAACTCTTGAAACTGTGCCTGCAGTCAACCTACTTCACATATGGGGAGCAATATTATAGGCAGAAACATGGGTGTGCTATGGGGTCTCCAGTTTCTCCTATTGTTGCCAACCTGTACATGGAGGAGGTAAAAAAGAGAGCCTTGACGTCCTTTTCAGGGACACCACCAAGTCATTGGTTCAGGTATGTTGACGACACCTGGATTGAAATTAAATCTCAGGAAGTCCAACATTTTACTGATCACATCAACTCTCTGGATAAATACATCAAGTTCACACAAGAAGATGTAAAAGATGGCAGGTTGGCTTTCTTGGACTGTGAGGTCTCAGTCTCTGATAGAGGACATTTGCAAACCGAGGTGTACCGCAAACCCACCCACACAGACCAGTATTTGCAGTTTGACTCCCATCACCCTTTGGAGCACAAGTTAGGAGTCATCAGGACTCTGTATCACAGAGCAGACAGCATCCCCACTAACTCAGGAGCCAGGCAGACGGAGAAATCCTACACAAAACAGGCTCTAGAGCAATGTGGATATCCTAACTGGGCCTTCCTGAAAGCAGAGAAGAAACCCAAACAGGACTCCAGTCAGCCATCAGGTGAAAAGGAGGAACCCAGACCCAGACCAGTGGTCATTCCGTATGTTGAGGGAGTATCAGAGAAACCGAGACGTTTATTTTCTAAACATAACGTCCCAGTGGCTTTTAAACCCCAAAATACATTACGGCAAAGACTGGTTCATCCCAAAGATCCAGTCACCCGGCACAAACAGAGTAATATTGTGTATGTTGTTCAGTGTCAGGAGGGCTGTGATCAGTCTTACATCGGGGAAACTAAACAGCCACTGGCCAAAAGGACGGACCAGCACAGAAGATCAACAACATCAGGCCAGGATTCTGCGGTCTACACTCATCTCCAGGCTAGCGGTCACTCTTTCAGGGATGAAGATGTTCACATTCTGGACAGAGAGGAACGATGGTTTGAGAGAGGAGTAAAGGAGGCCATCTTTGTGAAAAGAAATCGTCCATCATTAAACAGGGGTGGAGCCTCCGGGTTCAACTGTCCCCCTCTTACAATGCTGTGATTGCTAGTATCACTCAACCCCCTGTGAATAGTGAACAGCCATCAGTGTGCTAATGATCCATTGTTAGGCTGATGGTCCTTCTTGACCATGTGAGCAGCTGGTTTTGGTTGTCAGCAGCAAAACTGGTTGATCCACTCTGAGAATGTGCTATTTAAGAGACTGAGCTGAATACAGCTCCTCAGACTGAGGAAGTCTCTCGGATGAGAGACGAAACGTTTCTACATTTTCTTGCTTTGTTTTGTTTTTTGTTTTTTTGAATGTCCAGAGGACCACATTGAGCTTTTTTGGAACTGGGAGATAAAGTTAGAAGCCAGACTGAGACAGTTTGGACATGTCCAGAGGACTATCGCTTCTCTTGACATGTCCAGAGGAGGAACAATGGGTATATTAGTAGAAGGATGCTAGAAATGCAGCTGCCAGGAAAAAGACAAAGAGGAGATATATTGATGCAGTTAGAGAGGACATGGAAGTAGTTGGAGTGAGAACAGAGGATGCAGAGGACAGAGTGAGATGGAGAAGGATGACTCGCTGTGGAGACCCCTGAAGAGGAAAAAGATGAAAGAAGAAGACTAGTGTGAGTGTTGATATCAATAATTTAAATTTTGACAGGGTACATCCCCACATTATGAAAACAGTGCAGCCACAACACGTGAATGAAGCCTTCATCTTGATCTGATCTTCAGATATGGAGTAGCAAAGGTGGATCTGTTCACCGCACATGAAAATGTGTAGTCACTAAGCCTGGTTGTCACTAGGGATGGGGCCGATCCGATCCAGTATCGGTATCGGCCTCTGATACCAGCATAATTTACGTATCGGATTTTTCCGATCCACCTGCCAATATTTCCGATCCATGATGCATGTTGGCTTCAAACTATGGAATGGATTTCCTGAACGGAGGCGTGTCTCATGAACCCAGAGTAATAAGACCCGCCTCACATCAGGAAATCCAGTTCATAGTTTGCAGCCAGCTACAATGTGAGGAGTGAGTTAGCAGCACTGTGGCTAACAGCTAACAAACTTTTCATCTAAACATATCCGCTGTGTGGAAGTATTTTACACTAGAAACACCACAAAACAAGACAGCAACGTGCAATGTCTGCAGAGCCATAGTGCCACATTAAACCACGTTAAAGTTAGTTTTACGATGGACATTTGAGCTCTGTGGCTTCAGCGGGGCGCTGCTCTTTGCTCAACCCACAACAGGCGACTCGACCCCGGCCAGCCGCGTCCAATCTGACCCGCTCAGTCTGCCAGTCTGCAAGGTTCCGAGGAGGGACAGACTGAGCGCGGCTGCCCCAAATCAGGCTGCCTGCTTCGGATTGAACAAGAAGAACACATCGCTGAAACCACGGAGCTCAAATGTTTACAGAGAAGTTGATAAACTTCATCATAATTAATGACCAACCACTATCAATTGTAGAAAACGAAGGATATCTCAGCTTGATACTTGCAGCCAAGATATAGTTTACCCTCCAGGAGATATTTATCAGTACAACAGTAGAAAATCATTAAAAAAATGATTTGAAAATTATATTAAAAAGAAAAACAGCTACATTATAAAGTGATATAAAATACTAAAAACAGGAACATGTCTGTTGGTTTATGCCATGAACTTAGCAGATTTTTGAAGACATTTAACATTTAATTTAATTCATTTAAAAGAAACAAAAAAAAATCATGAAAAAGAAAACACTGAATGAAAAGAGTGCAGAAAGAAGAAAAAAAATTCTTATATCTGCCCCTTATTTAAAAAAATATAAAATAACTTTAAACAATCACTTAAAATTAATCACTTCAATATCCACTTTAAAGCAAGGAATAAAAAGAAACATGTTTTGTGCTAGCAGAATTTAATTCTAACTTTAAAACTTGTCCAAAATTAATACAACTTACCTAAAGTTGCCTTTTTGGACATGCATGCATATATTTGTACAAATTGTACTTGAGAGGAGATTATTACAGCCTCATATAAAATCAATGATGATCATGATATCGGAACTGGATCGTTATTGGCCAATATTCAGACTTAGGTATCGGGATATCGGGATCGGATTGGAAGTTTAAAAAAGTGGATCGGTGCATCCCTATTTGTCACTAAGCCCACTGGACAACCCCCTGATGGGGGTGGACAAATTCACACAAAGGCCATAGTCAAAGTTTAAACTTTTCGCAATTTAGAAATATTCTAAGTAACAATGCTGGACTTGGTTAGACCTAACTTCTGCCAAGTGTCTTCCTTGCAGAAATGAACATAGCCTACCTGTTTCCAGTGAACTCTTCACTGCAGAACAAGCAGAGACGGTGGAAACTGCTGTCATCCCTCTCCTTCTGCTGTTGCTCCAGTACCTCCTCCTGCAGAAGACCAAGCTGTCACTTAAAGGAAAAAAAGGCCAAACTTTTCTAGTTCTGGGGTTTTAAATACCAGGACATATTAATAAAGATGTGGGGCCTTATATACAAAGACTTGTGATTTATTTCTGAAATATGGTGAGAGCTTTAAACACAAACAGAGCCCACCAGAGCACATGTACTTTGAAATGGAGAGCATTTGACTGTGCTGCTGGAGGGTCTTTGTGCATATAGGATTGAGCGTCCACTGCTACACTGGTGTATAGGGCCATCAACTAGTTGATAATTTTACAACTTCATTGCAAACTTCACTAGATAACATTGCTCTGCTGAAAAGGAAAGTAATCAATCAGAGGAGATTAGCTCCTTGGTTCAATTCTGCGTTACATACTTTAAAGCAGGCATCTAGAAACCAGGAGAGAAAATGGCGCTCTACTAATGTTGAAGAATTTTATTTAACTTGGAAAGATAGTCTGCTAACATATAAAAAAGCTCTCCGTAAAGCTAGAACTTTATATTACTCATCTTTAATAGATGAGAATAAAAATAACCCTAGGTTTCTCTTCAGTACTATACTGTAGATAGACTAATTAAAAGTCCCATCTCTGTTGAACCATGTATCCCTACAACTACAAATAGTGATGATTTCATGAGATTCTTTATAAATAAAATTATTTCAATTAGAGAGAAAATTCAAACCATCCTTCCTTCTACTATCTCTAGTCCCCTGTCAGATGAGACAACTTTAAAAATTTCACTAGAGCCTGATTTATGTTTGGACAGTTTTTGTCCTGTTGAGCTCTGAATGTCAAAAATAATAACCTCATTCAAACCATCCACATGCCTGCTAGATCCCATCCCAACCAGACTGTTTAAAGAGGTATTTCCACTAATTAATGTCCACATTTTGGATCTACTTAATTTGTCTTTAATGGATGGTTATGTACCACAGAGCTTTAAGGTTGCTGTAATTAAACCTTTACTTAAGAAGTCTGACCTTGATTCAGAAATTCTGGCCCACTATAGACCTATATCTAACTTAACTTTAATCTAAAAAATTCTAGAGAAAATAGTTGCAGGTCAGTTGCGTGAACATATACAAAGAAATAATCCGAAGAGTTTCAGTCAGGGTTTAGAGCTCATCATAGCACAGAAACAGCACTAGTAAAAGTCACTAATGATATTCTCATGGCCTCAGACAATGGACTTGTGTCTATACTGGTCCTGTTAGACCTCAGTGCTGTATTTGATACAGTTGATCACAATATTTTACTACAGAGGCTTGAATATGATGTTGGAATTACAGAAACAGCTCTAAATGGTAAATGGTAAATGGACTGTACTTATATAGCACCTTTCTATCTTATTTCAAGATACTCAAAGCGCTTTTCACTACAATCTGTGTCCTCATTTACCCATTCATACAGCACTCTACTAGATCTCTTCAAAGCTAATTGAACAAATCATTCAAAAGAGACTAATCAGAGCTTTAGATCACATTCATACGCTGATGGGACACACATCAGAGGCTATGAGGGGTTCAGTGTCTTGCCCAGGGACACTTCGGCATGTGACTGCTGGTGGATTCAAACTCCCAACTCTCGCATTGGAGGACGAGTGCTCTAACCACTCAGCCACAGCCGCCCCGCTCTAAAATGGTTTAAATCATATTTATCTGATATATTCCAGTTTGTAAATGTAAATAATGAATCTTTTTCATACACCAAAGTAAGTCATGGAGTTCCTCAGGGTTCAGTGCTTGAAACAATTCTCTTTACATTATATATGCTTCCATTAGGTATCTCACAGACAGAGAGATAACTGATGGAAGATGGCGCCGGTGTACGTGGCAGGTCGTCTCTCACTGTCAGTTCTAGTCGTTATTCTGTTGTTTTTGAGCAAATTCAAATCACTATTGGTGTAGGATCACCAAACATTATTGGATCTAAGACCATTTATCCCCAATGTGGCTACTTTTAATATATGGGAACAAAACATTTCCCCCCCAGCTTCTGTCGGGAATTCCAACTCACCTGTGCCGGGCACTGGCCCTGCCCTACCGGCGGAAATGTCATTGCCGCTGCGGTAGACGCGGTGGACACCTGGTGAGGCTGAAAGCCTTTTTGTCATGGTGCAATGGTTCCCAGCCAGTCCCTGACTAGTTTCCTGGTGTGTTTTTGCCTTGGCGTTTTCTGGAGCCGGTGGATGCTTGCCCGGTTCATGTTGTTGGTGCGGATGTCCCCCGGCGTCAGCGCCCCTGCCTGCCCTGGCTCAGCAGGTGCAGAGTGAACCCACGGAACCTGAGACAGCTGAGTCGGGCCCTCCCTCAGCGTGACAACCCTGCTCCAGCTCCAGCCAGGATTGGCTTGGTGAATGCCGCTGGTCAATAAAACTTTCATCCTGAGGATTTCTTCAGCTCCCATAACCTGGACTTCCTCTGTATTACAGAGACTTGACTCAGTGAGGCTGAGTCAGCTGCTCTGTCTGAGCTTTTACCGACAGGCTGCTCTTATTTTAAGTTTTCACGATCAGTGGGCCGGGGAGGAGGAACTGCAGCCGTGTTTAAAAATGTTTTTAGTTGTAAACAGTGTTTTAAACAGCATCAGTTCACCAGCTTTGAGATGACCTCCTTTGAAGTGGGACGTTCTGAACGGACACTCTGTGCCATCATCTACCGCACACCCAAATACAATAAGGATTTTATTAGTGAAATTTCAGAATTTCTTTCTGAGATTGTGACTGGATATGACCATGTTGGTGATTTTAACATCCATGCTTGTTGCCCAGACAAACCTCTGGTAAAATAATTTTTAATTCTTATTGACTGTTACGGCCCCCTTCCCATGGGCTCACCACCTGTGGGAGGGGCCAAAGGGGTCGGGTGCAATGTGGGATGAGTGGTGGCCGAGGGCGGGGACCCTGGCGGTCTGATCCTCGGCTACAGAAGCTGGCTATTGGGACGTGGAATGTCACCTCACTGGTGGGGAAGGAGCCTGAGCTGGTGTGTGAGGCTGAGAGGTTCCGGCTAGAAATAGTCGGACTCACCTCTACGCATGGCTCGGGCTCTGGAACCAATTTCCTTGAGAGGGGCTGGACACTCTTCCACTCTGGAGTTGCCCTTGGTGAGAGGCGCCGAGCAGGTGTGGGCGTACTTATTGCCCCCCAACTTGGTGCCTGTGTATTGGGGTTCACCCCGGTGAATGAGAGGGTTGCCTCCCTCTGCCTACGTGTGGGGGGACAGGTTCTGACTGTCGTTTGTGCTTATGCACCAAACGGCAGTTCAGATTATCCACCCTTTCTGGAGTCCTTGGAGGGAGTCCTGGAAAGTGCACCTTCTGGGGACTCCCTTGTTCTGCTGGGGGACTTCAATGCTCATGTGGGCAATGACAGTGAGACCTGGAGGGGTGTGGTTGGGAGAAACGGCCCCCCTGATCTGAACCAGAGTGGTGTTCTGTTGTTGGACTTCTGTGCTCGTCATGGATTGTCAATAACAAACACCTTGTTCAAGCATAAGGGTGTCCATATGTGCTCTTGGCACCAGGACACCCTAGGCCGCAGTTCGATGATCGACTTTGTCATCGTCTCATCTGATCTGCGGCCACATGTCTTGGACACTCAGGTGAAGAGAGGGGCGGAGCTGTCAACTGATCACTACCTGGTGGTGAGTTGGCTCCGATGGTGGGGGAGGATGCCGGTCAGACCTGGCAGACCCAAACGTATTGTGAGGGTTTGCTGGGAACATCTGGCAGAGTCTCCTGTGAGACGGAGTTTCAACTCCCACCTCCGGGAGAACTTTGAACATGTTCCGAGGGAGGTGGGGGACATTGAGTCTGAGTGGACCATGTTTCGTGCCTCTGTTGTCGAGGCGGCTTACTGGAGCTGCGGCCGCAAGGTTGTCGGTGCCTGTTGCGGCGGCAACCCTCGAACCCCCGATGGTGGACACCGTCGGTGAGGGATGCTGTCAGGCTGAAGAAGGAGTCCTATCGGGCCTTTTTGGCCTGTGGGACCCCGGAAGCAGCTGATGGGTACCAGCAGTCCAAGCGACATGCGACTCGGTGGTTGCTGAGGCAAAAACTCGGGCATGGGAGGAGTTCGGAGAGGCCATGGAGAACGACTTCCGCACGGCTTCGAGACGATTCTGGTCTACCATCCGGCGTCTCGGGGGGGGAAAGCGGTATGCCACCAACACTGTTTATAGTGGGAGTGGTGTGCTGCTGACCTTAACTCGGGATGTTGTGGGTCGGTGGGCGGAATACTTTGAAGACCTCCTCAATCCCACCGGCACGTCTTCCACTGAGGAAGCGAAGCCTGGGGACTCTGGGTCGGGCCCTCCAATCTCTGGTGCTGAGGTCACCGAGGTGGTTAAAAAGTTCCTCGGTGGCAGGGCCCCAGGGGTGGATGAGATCCGCCCGGAGTTCCTTAAGGCTCTGGATGTTGTAGGGTTGTGTTGGCTTACGCGACTCTGCAATATTGCGTGGACATCGGGGGAAGTTCCCCTGGGTTGGCAGACCGGGGTGGTGGTCCCCCTATTCAAAAAGGGGGACCGTAGAGTGTGTTCCAACTACAGGGGAATCACGCTCTTAAGCCTCCCTGGTAAGGTCTATTCGGGGGTTCTGGAGAGGAGGGTCCGTCGGATAGTCGAACCTCGGATTCAGGAGGAACAGTGCGGTTTTCGTCCTGGCCGTGGAACACTGGACCAGCTCTACACTCTCAGCAGGGTCCTGGAGGGTGCGTGGGAGTTTGCCCAACCAGTCTACATGTGCTTTGTGGACTTGGAAAAGGCGTTCGACCGCGTCCCTCGGGGGGCCCTGTGGGGGGTACTCTGGGAGTATGGGGTACCGGGCCCTTTGATACGGGTTTTTAGGTCCCTGTATGACCGGTGTCAGAGCCTGGTCCGCATCGCCGGCAGTAAGTCGGGCTTGTTCCTGATGAGAGTTGGACTCCGCCAAGGTTGCCCTTTGTCACCGATTCTGTTCATAACTTTTATGGACAGAATTTCTAGG